AGAGTACGGTCAAACCGTCCATACGTCTATTTTTATACAAAAGGAATATTCCCCTGAAAGCTCCTTTAGTCTGTTTGACCGAACTACTGTTTACTAAAGGTATCACAGGTATCTTCATATTGCAAGGTTCGTTTGTTCACAGCTCACGTTTGGGCCATCGAGCTCGGCGGTTCTGCGAAACGCACTGCCTCAACGCTATTAATAGTTCCGTTTCTGCCCTTCTCCACTGAGGTAGCCGTGCAAATTTATAAAGTTACAAAGTCCTGTTGAAGAACAGTTCACTGTATCTCAAATTTCGAATACCAGCTTGAACATAAACAAGGGCTGGTTCATAAACTTCCGCGGTACATCCCGTATATACCGTACCATATCATAGCTGGTTAATTTGTTTCCCCCAGCGTCAACGCCAAGGGTGAAGGTCAACCTGACACTGCGAGCAGCTTTGGATGCTTTCTACTGTCGGTCGACAATTCTTCGTCTCCCTGCCATCGGGCACTGGTGTCAGGCATCAAGGCATGGAATATTTTAACGTGGCACACCCTCCATGTGGTTCATTCTGCGCAATGGTATCAATTGAACGCGTGTCTCAAGGCCAAATTTTGTTTCCTCCCTTGTCTTACCTAAGTCGCAGTCAGAAGCTTTCCAACTGTTGGTTTCCTCCACCACCTTCGGTCACTGTCCACTTAGTTTGAGTGAACAACAAATTCCAAATTCTCTCCTCGGTGCTCCAGGGATTGAATTCGATTATCTGAAAGATCGTCTTCCACTTAAAGCTTCGTTAAGTGGAGCTCTCTAATGAGATGGCCGCAGGTGATTTGGGCATGGTTTAACCACGTAACCTTCCTAACTATATATTAAGCGAAATTTATCAATCTAGATTTGTCAAAAGCGTGTATTTCTCTCCATCTAATCGGCCGCTACTAGAGACAGCTGTTTCTAGCCCACATGTATCGCATAGGGCCACTTGGTGTTTTAGAAACTGCTCAATTTAAAGCCTACTGAGGTTATTACCATACTATGCTGGACACTTCTTGAACTGTGCGCGACTGCGGATCCCAAAAATTTCAAGGGCAATTTTGTTTTACGCACCGGCCCCTGCAGGGCGCGTAAAATGGGCTGGGTGTAGAGACCGATCGGAATTCTTGGTTAGTTTTGCAATAATAATTTACTATGTGGGTATCGAATTTACTGAAAGTATACGCATCAAAACTAATGAACATGCACGTGTAATTGGTTTTTAGTGTGATTCCCCCACGTAAAACGACTGAATTCCATCTTACAATAATAATAATGATTGTTGTTCAACCTTATCACAGTTTCGGTGCATAGTTTTCGTGCCACCCAAGAAGAGCATGAGGGCTACCATACTGCCAGCTTAATCAAGCATACACAGAGGAGGTGTTCCAGTCATTAAATTCACGCCACCTTGGATATTATCGCTTGATTGAGTGGTACATACGAGATATTTCAACCATACGATCACCGATTATTAGCGAAGTGGAGCTAATTAATACATGCTGCTGCTTGGAGTCTGCGATGCGTCAGGATGCAGATTTTCGAGCCTTACCAACTTCTACGTGTTAAGTTTACGTTAAGCATTTATGCAACGGCGAGCTCGAAAACTAAGGCTAATCAGATCCTGGAAATTGCATGGCAGTATATCCAAAGGTAGACTCAAATATATGGGACCCTCTTCCCTAGCTGGAATGACGCCTCAGTGTTTAGAGCGCTGGAACAAAAGTCGATTGACGCGGCGACCCATCTCGGTTGATCAGAGAAAATACAAGCTATCCTACGTGCAAGGACACCTCAGGAGCAGTTTACTTTTACCCGGCGTTCCTGGCTTTGACAAAATTACTCTCCCACGAACACACCAGTACTACGTATCGATCTTTGGCTGTCAAATTATGACAAATATTGCAGCGAGCTGTCATTGCATTTGGACACCACACGTGACAGCAACAAATTACGAAAAATTTCCTCTCGACCACGAAAATCCGGTGTGCAATTTTATTGCCGAAGTACAACAAAGCACCTGGTCCAGACATTGTGGATTCTGCACTCTTCGAAGGTTATGAGCCTTCACGACTAGCATGACAAATTGACTCCAAATGGAATGGGGGAAGGATTACGAACAATAACACGCAACGAGTAACTATAGTGTTCAAAATGGACGCAAGTTAGAACATTTCACTCACAGAAGCGTCGTGTTGAACGACTTACTGAACAATTTCAAAAACAGTTTTTCTGGGTCCTATCAACTTACCCTATGGAAGGACCAAATAGACCCGAGTGGGTCGTGTGTGTCATTCCACCATGTTCGACAGAAGTTCAGTGTGCAGTTTAATTGCTTCAACGCAACAAACTACTTGGTCCAGACAGTTGGAATCTTGCTCTCTGCAAAGCTGGTTCGTCTGCCATGGCGAACCTGACGACTGAACTTCAAAGTATCTGAGGTGAGGAAAGAATGCTCGATGAGTAGACCGTTTAGGTTGTGATTCCTATATTCAAAGGTGGTGAAGGGAATTCGCGGGAAAACAGCCTGGGCGTCAGTTTAGTGGGCGGGATGGCTCAGTGGTTAGAGCGTGAATTTAATGACTGTTCCACTTATGGTTCAAACCTGACCTCTGCATCTCGACTTCCCCTGTCTTGACTTTGGCACCTGGAAGTATCCCAGTCCCCGTGCCTCCTTCGGGGTGCATGGTAGCTAGGCACCGCAAGGGTGATACCACTGGACGATTTTTTC